CTATGCCCTTTAGCACTGACTGACTATAATGTATTTTTTACACATCTGTAATGGAAAATTTGATAAAAAAGGAATAATTTTCCCATTTTATGCATAACATAACAATGTCAGGTGATACCATTAAACTTCTTCTTGTTATTATGCTATTTCGACTGTGTATTTCAGTTTAATAATTTACTTCTTATATGCTTAATTGTACTATCTTTAAATTACTGTCAATATCTACTCCAGATCATTTTCTGTTTACTTGTAATTTTCTTTAAATTGATTATGAGTCAGAGGTTTACTCCGTCACTAAATATCCCAAAATTTATTTCTCTATCATAATTACATTGTGCTATAAAATCTCTGGGTTATTCTAATTTGTTTACAAAATGTTGGAATCTTGATGACTTACGGTAGTAGAGATTTATTATCACTTTGTGATCATTATCTTTTCTGTAAGTTGTCAGTCTCTAGCAAAGCTAATTTTTGAATTTTTTATTAAATACTTTTATTGAATTTTGTAATTACATATAACAGTTCTTAATGAAATTTAGACCCCCCTCCAACACACACACATACCTCCTAAGTCCTAGCCATTTAGATATTTGTACCCAAAGGTCCTTCAGTGTAAATTCTTCCACTGGAGTCAAGTCAGTCCATCTGGAGATCATAGGTAAGGCCTACTCTCCCTCACCCAGTAGAAATAAGTCTCTAATAATTCTCAGTCTAGTGTCAGTCTGACATCAATTTCTCCTCCCCTTTGGGCTCTTGTTTAGTCGAGTTGACATAGGGGTTGTGCTAGATGTCACCATTGTCACAAGTTCACATGTACAAGCTTCCAGTGGCCTAGAAGCCTCTGCTTCCCTGTGTTCATGAACCAGCCCTTGATCTTACAGTCTTTCAGTCCCCTCTTTCACAATGATCTCTGAGCCATGGGTGGATATAGGAGTCCTATCCTACACTCTGCAGTCTCTTATTCTTTAAAACTTGGCCAGTTGTGCCCTTCTACGTGCATCACACACTGTTCCTTGTTCTGCTATGTTCCGTGAGCCTTAATTTGTAAATTGATGGGACTTGATACTCTCTGTAGCAATCATAACTTTTGAAATATTGACTCATAACTTTGGTTTCAGTTTTTTCCCTGTGAGGTTATGGTTTTGTACCATCTTTACCCATTTGTGACCCTGTAAATGATCAGAAAAGAATTTATATCCACATTTTGGGATGCACCATCTGTAGTCTTCCTGTCCACTTAATTACAGCCATTCTTTAATCATGAACACTGATCTATGACCTTTCTACCTAGTGAGATCACTGACGTCTGCTTAGCTGCATGGTATGTGATTTGAGTAGACTTCAGAGAGGTATTTAAAGTCAATTTGACCTAAAAGTCACCCCATTGCAATATATGTCCTTTGCCGTCAGTGTGATGTGGACACTAAAATATCTTTGAAAGTCATTTGCCATTGGCAGTGAATTAATTCCATCAAATCTGTTAAATAAATATTGAAGTTGGGAGAGTTCTGTTCATTACACAAACATTAATTCATTAATTCTACATTTATTCTTGGAAACAAGTTCAAATAGTAGTTTATAACAGTTATGCTCTTTAGGAAGGTTCCTTCTAAATCCCTTAAAATAAAATAATGTTTAAGTGTTGCAGCAATATATTAAGCATAAAATGACACATTTGTGTTGTGGTTAAAGAAGAAAAGAGAAGAATTATTTAATACACTTGAATTTTGGTGCTGCCATTGTCGGCTGACATCTAACTCCAGAGTCTGCAACCATTAAAGGCTAACATCCTGGGAGTTTCAGCTTTCCGGCCCAAATTTAAGTTGCATTATTGGTCTCTAAGTTTATGAGGTTTCTAACTTCTTGGAATGAGCACTGACTATTTATTCAATTCTACAATCAGCAGATGACCATAGTGGGACTCGCCAGTCTTTTATATATAAGCCCATTTAATAAATCCCCTTTTGTAATTAAGTATATTATATTGGCTCTATGCCTCAAGAGAATGCAAATATTGCTTGTGAATTAAATTTGTATTTCATTGGCAATTAACCTAATTGAATCTTTTTTTAATGTGCTTTCCAAACACTGTGATTTATTCATATGAATTTTTCTCATGAATATCCTTTCTGAAAATTCTAATGAATAATTTCTTTTTATAAGCAATTAAAATTTTATTGAACTTTTGTAATTTCATACAACAGTTCTTAATTAAATTTAGACCCCCCCATTCCATGCCTCCCATCCAGCCAGCAGACCTCATGTATCCTACAATATACTTTAAGTCCTCTCCAGTCAAACATTTGTACCCAGATGACCTTCAGAGTAAATTTGTCCACTGGAGTCTAGTCGGCCAATCCCTCACTCAGTATCAATCAATCTCCAATAGTTCTCGGTCTAGTGCAGGTCTGACAGCCATTTCTCTCCTCCACCTCTGGGCCTTTGTTTAATTGGGTTGGCATGGGTCCTGTTCTGGATGCCACCATGGCCACAAGTTCACATGGTCACAAGCTTCCAGTGGCCTGAAAGCATCTGCTTCCCTGGGTTCATGAACCAGCACTGACTCTTCCATAATGGTGTCTGAGTCATTGCTGAGTGAGGTTAAACTTAGGAGTCCTACCCAAAGACACACACTATACAGTCTTTTATTCTTTAAATCTCGGCCAGTTGTAGCCTTCTGAGCATCACACTCAGTTATGAAAGGACACTTTACAGGTGAGAGTTGAGGGCTGCATTAATGTTCTCTTTACCCCTTGTTCTGCTATGTTCCATTAATATGCCAACATAATGCAAAAACCCACATCTAGATTAAGAGCTATATAGGTAATCAATGACCGCTGAGCAAGGGAGGATCAGTTTTCTCCAAGGACAAGCTCCCAGAAAGACTGTCCAATCCCAAGTGTTCATCTTTAACACATGAATTTATGACCAACTATAAATGGACTCAATAGATTGTGCATGCATGTGTGTGTGAGTGTGTGTGTGTGTGTCTGTGTGTGCAAACGATAATATTCAAAGAAGAGGTCACAAAATTCAAAGGGAGTGGGTGGAGTAGGAGAGTTGGAAGAGGAAGATAGAAGGGTGAAAGTGAGGTAATACATACAATAATTGTGTATGCAATTTCAAAAACTATTTTTAAAAATTGGAATAAAAGAACATCTTTGCATTAGCTGTCTATCAAGGAAAGAAGCATTTTTTAATTGCTGCTAACAAACCACTGTACCTTGTCAGTGTACTGTTATTCAATAAAGTCATACATAACATAATCACAAAAAAATAAAAAAATAAGAACTCTCAGCAAAATTTTCAAATATTTTGCTGTTGTGCATAATAATTACCAAATACGTAACGTGGCTTATAAAGAATCAGAATGTAATGTTATTATAATCTGTGAAAATAAAAAAAAAACAACTGAAATTTTAATGGATGGATCTGTAATAAGTCACTGACAAATTATCTTTTATCACCTATAAAAGGAACCAAGCTTCATGCATAAAGAAGGAAAACTTACTACAATGAATAATAAGGTTATAGTTTAAATAATACATATTTGAAAAAATTGGAAACGTGTAATTTTCTACATTTGATAAAGGTAGTGCCTTATAATTAGTAAAATCTCTGAACAGTTATATCACAACAAAAATAATAATAGCAAATATATGGGTGGAATTTTCTTGAAGTGAGCACAGTAAATTTTATTTTTCCACAGAATATATATATGTGAAATAAGTAATGTACAGAAGGAGAAAGGATGTTGCCAAATATTGTACACAGAAATATTCATCTTGATGTTTAACCAATATAAATATATTGTGCTTGATTAAAGTTAGTTATTTTTAAAGTAACCTTTTCTAGTGTTATTTGAGGAGGTGAGAATCTTTTCATATTGTGACAATAGTCTCGACAAATGTAGTACATAAATGGTTTTTATTTTAAAAATAATTCTGCTTAGTTTGTTTTGGCAGTTTTATTTTTTTAAAATGAACACTGGATATATATCTTGTGATTTGTAAAGTAAATGCAAAATCTATGTAAAAATTCTTCCTAAGAAGTTCATATTATTATTATGCTTGGAAGGAATATCTGAGTGACTAACTTTGAATCAAGAATTTAAGGATCATTTGCTGCCTAGCAAGTATCTCAGTTCCTAAAGTGTATAACATACAAAATACAGCTAGTTCATGGAAGATAAACTTAGATAATTACATTGGGAAATAACAAAAGAAGTAAGAATTTTGGGGGAAAATGAAAGCATTGGGAAAAGATCAGTGACAGAGAGAAATGGTAGGACTTCAATCTTTGGAAGACAAGAATCATTATGCCTAGCATCTACATTTACAAGCCCCTTTTTTTTTGTGAAGGTGCATCGAAACTCCCTTGTTTACAGTTAAGAATAAGACACATAAAAGCCATTTTTTCTTCTAAGTTGAGCTGTTAGATTGAAACTGAGGACTGATAGATGTTTAAGAGAGTCAACATTTAAATGGTCACAGATACAGAGTCTAAAATATTAACATAAATTTTCTTTCCTCCCTCTTGCCACATGGAATGCACAGGGAAGTGTAACGTTTTCTAAAAGGTGCAGTCTTTTAAAGCATCAAATATTTTTTCAAAAGCATTTCAGCCTATTGTATGTTAATTTTTTAAAATTATTTAGAAGAGGGCAAGAAATTTAGAATTTTTTAAAATAAAGTACTTTTAAAGTCCATTCCATCTAAATAACTTTTACTAGATACATAAATAATAAAAAACGTAAACTATTATCAAGAGAAAAAATAGGAGATTTAGATCCCAAGATGCTCAGTTAAACGTAGTCGGTAACCAATGAAATAACCGTAATTTTATTGAAAGGTTTAGTAAATTGCGGTCATAATGATTGAAGAGTTGAGTGACTTCAGCAGAGAAACATGAATGAATCTACAGTGATGAATCCTTTAAAATCTGATGAATATTTTCTGTAATAAAAATATCTGTCTAAGGTTTAAAGATGAAAACTGTATATACTCTGGTTTCTCTTCACATTGTATAAATCTTTTGCCTTCTACTAAAAACTTCCATGAAGGGGTGCACCTCAGAGTCTTAAACAATTTTTTTGTATCATGCAACAGCAGAACTAGTAATGTTGGTTTAAAAAATAGGCTGGCAAGACTGAAAAGATGGCTCAGAGGTTCAGAGCACTGGCTGTTCTTGCAGAGGACCCTGGTTAGTGTCTCAGCACCAACAAGGTGGTTGACTATCTGTAACTCCAGTTCCAAGGCATCCCACACCTTATTCTGACCTCTGTGGGAATTGACAACACTGATGCACTAAACGTACATGCAGGCAATACACTCATACACATAAAATAAAAATAATAAATAAAATATTTTTAAAAGATGGGCACTATGTAAAATAATTAAAAATAAATATGTTAGATGCATATTCACATTCTCTACATCTTTGGAAATTATGAACACTTTTTAAAACTTAATTACTAATAGAAGAAAATTTAAAATACCTCTTACTATATCTACCCTGTCTCATCATAATAAAACACATGTA